AATGCAGTGACTTATGAGCCAACCATCTTTCATCCAGTCTCACTTCCTGTAGGTATTGTGGTATTTAGAAACAGCAGTGGTTGCTGCTCAGTCGGCTGAGAATGAAACACGCAAGTACGACTAGGCCGTGGCACGCAGCGCCTCTCCGCTGCTGCCAGCACTCTCGCAGGGACAACGTATTGTCTCTGGAGGTAGCTGGAAGGCCTTTAGGATCCTGCCGATAAGGAAAAGCACTTAACAGCTTCCTTACTTCTGCCACTGCAAAACAATGAGAACTAAAAGTACAAAAGGGCAACAAAACCCTTCCATCTGCCTGTACAGGCATCCTGTCTGCCTGCACTCCACACCTTTGTGATCTTCTGCAGTATCTTCCCAGGAAAGAGATGCCAATTTTAGGGCAATCATACCCATTTTTATGTTAAGCCACTATTCAGTACTGAGCTGATCACCGTCCAAAACAAAAATAAACTAAACAAAATCACTTCTGTAATGAGACATGAAACAGAATATTCTAAGCTTCCTCGGACGATCCCTCATTTGTTCGTTAAAATTCATTAGGTAGGCCAGCACTTGTGTCTCCAGAGCCACAGACCATTGGCTTATGAAAATGAAACCACAACTTTTGAAGTCGTTTTCTTTCCATACTTTTCTTATAGATTTCATTTACTTCTAATAAAACTGCTAAAGAACTATATACACTGATAACTATGGTGAGCATAGTGTCAGCCCTGTGGTCTAAGGGGTGAAGAAACATCACCCCTTGTTAGCTTCAAGAAAACGTCCTGAGCTTAACCTAACAGGTAGGAAGCGGTACGTGAGCACAATGAGAGCTGTAAGCACAAGGAGACAGGAGAATTGGTTTCTAGATACCTGCGTAAGTCAATTCAAGACATAGCCTCCGACGATGCTCTTGTGCAACTCTATTTTGCCATCAGTAAAGATATTTATGCCAAAGCACAAAAGAATTGGAGAAAGAAAATCAGTAGGTTACCACAGAAATTACTTCGGGAACAAATTACGCTTAATTTTACTGCCTCTGTGAAGTCAACTGCACTTATGCAAAGAGGATGTAAAACAAATATCAGACCTAGAAAGCTAATTTTAAACTATTACTCTTCGATATCAACATGGCAGCAGGAGGCCAAATACACACTATACCCTAACTGTGACATACTGTACATTAGTTAAAAGACAAGTTCCCTGTTTAGCTCTCTAGGTGTCTACTATAAATCGTGCTCATAGACATGGATGGAAAATGAAATAAGAACATCTTATAGAGCTCTTTTGGCCCTTGTGTCGGCTTGATGGACCAAGGCTGGGAAGGTTTATAAGAAGAATAATGTTTTTGATAGGTAAAGGGGCATGTGTCTTTTTGAATGTGTTACAGAACAGCTTCACGGATAATCAGCAACTCAGCAAGCAAGGAATGAGAAATCTTGAGGGTCACTGAATAGTGCCAAACTTCAGGATATCTTATTTCAAAGTTACTTTGGATGCTTTGCAACCGATTCTAAACTGGAAAGTGAACAGCGCTCCTTGAAACACCCATTCAGCATACATGAAAAGAAACACCATAGTATGCACCACAGTGAGCAATGAACCAATGAGAAGCACAGAGGCTTAACCACACTTTCCGTGCCTTTATTCAAGCAGCTTTCACTGGGCTACATTTTTAGCTCATCTCAGGTTGATATACTGTTTGTTCTCTCATTTTTGGATGCACGACTACAAAACACTTCAGCACCTTGTTTCTAGCCTAGCATGCTCATTCATGCAAAATAGCTACCATTATCTGCTATGAGAAAACTCAGGAGCCCTGAGGAAAATTGCTTGGATTTGCGATAAAGACCTGTAGCTCTCTATTCGTGAAATAGCCCTTTTAAAAAGTGAGGAAGTAACCTATGCAATGAGCAGAAAAAAAAACTTCTGGCCGATAGTCATGCAGGTTAGGTGCATGCAGAGACCAAGACCCAGCACAAGCTAATATCTGCACATGCTACAGAAGGCTGCTGGGAGTACTGTTTAGCACCTTTCTCGCTTGCAGTTATCTCATTTGCAGATAAATTTTCTGAGGCTAGCTTTGAAAACGTAATCCCAGCAGGCTGCTGTGAAAAGTGGCTGCCCACACAACCAACAGCCTGACAGTTCACTGATATAAGTTAAAAAAGATGTTGTGGGCTTCAATTAGTGATTTTTGATCAGGCCACAGAAACTGCAGATAAAGGCATTTGGATTTCTAAAGGCAAGTCAAGAACTCAGTGCTGGAGGAGGACTCTCAGGATTCCAACTACACAAAGACTCCTCTGAAAATCTGGCTTTCTATCCTGCTAATACAGATATGGGCAAAAAGAAGAGGCTACACAACAAAGGCTCTGAAGCAATAGTATATAGGCTTGCCACCAACTGCCATCAGCTGGGAAACTAATTTCAATGTGCGCTTATCGCATGATAAGCAACAGCTAGGCATGCTTTGGCCTACAGGCTTTGAGCAAATCTATATAGCAAAAAAAGATACAATTGCAATGTAAGTACCAGTAACCTCACTATCTTTTATCCAGTAAAAACATGAAGCATTGGGTTCAGCACAGGTCAGCAACTCAGAGACAAGCCCTCTAACAACGCTTACTATATAAGCTCCTACTGAAAGCCCATACAAAAAACCAACGTCACTTGGTCTTTGCTCCTTCTAATCTGCATCTGTTAAACGAATGTTAGCCAGTATATGTCTATTCGTGCTATTATCTTCATTATGCCATGAAGTCGTTCTGTCTGAAAGGAAATACAACTTTTACAACTAAAAACTGGAAGAGGGAAGATAGAAAATAGGTCTGTTCTTTGGGACAAACTGGAGAGGCTCAGAGAAAGGTTTATAAATCTAATTTATTTGCCAAAGTTAGGGTTGCAGAAAAAGGTGATGGGAACCGGCCTGCTTTCCCTGCGTCCTCATGGAACCAGGGCCATTGCACGGAGGTACGTTTTCTTCTTGGGGCGGGGGGTACAGACAGAGCTCTAAGCAGGTTGAAGTTTCAGAGGGAGACAGTCTGTTCTTGGTATTTGGAGATAAGCACTGTCTAAGTCCTACTGAAGGTCTGTAGTCTGAACTTGATTAATAAATAGCGATGCCTCGTTTCTACAAGATAATGTTAGATGACTAACAGTGTTTTCACACACTTCCAACTTGTTTATATCGCATTTCCTTGAGATTCAGGTTCTCTTCTCCTTCATTACCGTCATGCTCCAAAGCCAAAAAGAAAGGTTCAATGAATTAAGCTTATCTACTGGCTTTTCTCCTAAGGTATGCTTAGTCTAGTGAGATTTCAGCTGCCATTTAGAGCTGTCATTTACAGTGCCCTGTGCCCCTCCTAGTAGCAGCTACAAGTATGTGTTTATTGGCAACTTTGTCATTTTTCAAAAACTGCTTTAAATGAAAAATAGTTTTATTCTTACCTTTTGTTCCAAAGCTTTTATTTGCTAGACAATGCCTGCTCAGTTTCCCCCTCCATACACTAAAGCCAACATATTATTAGACCTCATTTCCATTTCCTTGCCAGACCGCTGAATTCATCCTGAAAATTAGGCAAGATGGCATGAAGCCAAATGCACTAATGACTATTTCAAAATATTTCCTGATAGAAATCAACAGAGGTATGTAGATTAGAAGCACTTCCTGTTAATGCCAGCAGTAAGGAGATCAACATCTATGAGGGCATAAAGAAACCACTCCTTGGTTTCAGAACCCAAGTAACTTCATTTCTTTTGTAATTCTTGGACTTTGTTGAATTCACAAATTCAACAAATCTCTGTAGAGTATTTTATGTTTCAATTTTTGTTAAAATATTAAGTGTTGTTTAAACATTTTTGTTTAAATAACTTCGGCAGCTGACTTTTTGTAGTACTAAGACAACTGAGATGTGCTACTCCAAATATCTCATTCTAAGTAACTCTAATCAAAAAGCTGTAACTCAGTAATAAGCTGTATTTATCCATGCTGATCTCAGATTTTCTGCCTGAAACACAGGATTCCTATAAACATTCTTCAAAATACAAAGAGCGGAAGATTCATTTCACACAGTAAAATATATACTGTGTATATAT